AAATTATTGCCACGCTTCTTAGAAACCTCAACCTACATTTAGCAATCAGCCTGTATTGTTTCTGCATGTGGGCGTGTTAGCAGCTCACATGGTTTTGCAGTTAGGGACTTGACACACGAATCAAACAGCTTCCTCCTTCCACTTCCTGAGCATCTAAAAAGGAACACACCCATAAGATAATACTTTAACATTCAAGTATCTATAGACTGCAATGTGACCCAATGGTAATTACCATAAAGACCCATATGTCTACCACACATTTATGCAATAAATGTTGTTCCTTTTCAGTTCTTATGCATAAAAATGTACAATAGTCAATCAGTCAGAGCTATTTTTAGTATGTAAAAATATTTAAGCAAGATTAGTTTTTTTTTTTTTTTTAGTTTATACAGCTAAAATAATCAGTCAATCAAACTTTATTTGTATAGCACTTTTCATACATTTGAAATGTAGCACAAAGTGCTTCACATGCAACAGAAAAATTTTAATACATTAATTAACCCCCCCATATATACAACAATTTAAACAGAAACATAAAAACCAAAAACTAATAAACATGAAGCTCTTAAAAGTTATAGTAAAAATTTAAATGTATAGCTAAGATCAGATGGAGACTAAGTAAAATAGTAATGATAATTAAATTTAAAACAACCATAATAATAACAATAATAATGATAATTTAGATAAATAAGACACAATATGCACACATTTCCACATTATTACATTTTATGCACAGACAAAATTAATTATATAATGATTGTGTGTGTGTGCATTGTACAATGGGTCATCCTGTTATAACACGATAGGAAATTCATTTCACTGCCCACATAAGCTACACTGACAAACGTGGTCATTTCAATCATGAATCATTATTTCAGCTTGTCTTTAACAAGTCCACCTTATCCAAAACAACCAGCATAATATCTGTAGTGAATATGTCTTCACTTCTATCAAAATGAAAACATCTCCAAGGCTGTATCTATTAAGTGTCTGTCTATAGTGGAATTCACTAGCAAGGACCATGCCACATGGGGGTACAATCTTCAATCCAAAATGGTCACCCAGCTGAATCAGTACCCCCCGCGAAGAGGATGTCTTCGGACTGAAGCATGGGCAAAAGACACGGGTGGGAGGGAGGGGGGCAAAAGACACGGGTGGGAGGGGGGGGCAAAAGACACGGGTGGGAGGAGGGGGTCAACAGAGCTGACGCCTATGGTGTTGTCGGGATAGGCCTTATGAATAGGGCTTATGGGTAAATGAAGGTGTGGTTGAGATAAGCTGTGGTTGGCTGTAGAGGAGGTTGAGGCATGAACCAGCTCCTGAATCTCAGTTAATCATATTAACTCCATATCAATTCAGGATACTAACTCAAAATGGGGAACACTGACAAAACAAATTTAAACATTCAACATTTAAAACATAAATCGACATTTTATTCCTCCAAAAGCAATCTCAATGTTATACATGTATTGATATACTTCTCCCATCTCCAATTATAACTTGTCCAACTATTATACAATGTCACGCTGTAGCACTGCACTGACATCTGGCAACTAACTCCTCACACGAGACAAGAGCACACCAGTATCATTTGTATGGTACTAAAAAAAAAACACACATTCATTATCTGTATTCTTTTAGCCTTGCTCAATGAATAAGTCAGTTTGAGAGCCACAAAAGCACCTGTCAGTCTGATTGTAGGTCTTCACACGCAGACATGGAGTCTCACATGACTACACAGCACTTAGCTCCGACCCCCCTGAGCTATTAGGGGCTTGTCCCAGCAGGAAACACCCGTCTATCCCACCCATCAACATGTGCAACATTTACTTCTACTGTTGAGTTTGTAAGCACATTAGGTCCTAAATATGGCCAACACTTGCAATACTGCTTTTAGTACACTAGTCAACTAAAATTTGATGGATTTTGATTTTGATTTGATTACAACTCTACCCTTTGGGATTTGAGAGTTTTTAGAGCAGAAAACAATTATATAAGATATGCAATTTCAGCATTCAATTAGTTACACTGATTAGTAGTTGTAGACCTCACTTTCAGATGCACAGAAAAGGTTCCCCAAGATGAGATGTAACAGTGCATATCTGGTTGTCAAGATGGTAAGGAAATAGAAATACTGACTTATGCAGAGGTATAATAACACAACAAAATGAACAAGATATTACTAAAATCACACACAAAAAAACCTTCCTCACAGTAGGGGTGTGCAATTAATTGAATAAAAATTCCAATAATGACTATTGCTGTAATCAAACACAACAATGATGTAATCAAGTAATCGAGATCATTCACATTAACAGTGTGCACACTGTACGTTACCTCAAGGGGAAAAGTTACTCACAGCTTACATCTTTCTACTTGTCAAAGACATTTTCGGGACAGGTCATCTACTTGCATTTCTTATGTTTGTGCTCTTTATTTTAGGTGCTGATACCCCACATTCTCTTCAATAATGAACTCAATAGGTAAGAAATCAATTATTATTTCCATAATTGGGTGGCCTAATCCTAAACTGAACCAAAGCAAACCAGGACCAAACCAGGTTCAAACACTGACTCACCTAGAGACTAACTATAGACTCTATGCAAGGGTATATTTACATCTAATATTGGCCTTTATGTGGTTGCATGGTCTATGAAGAATAAGACAATATAGGAAATAAAAATAATTATGTGATACAATATTAATGATTAATGATGAAATACTAAAAGCAGATTAAGCATGCAGTTATCATGATGATAAGAGAAAGTAATAGGGAATAGTGGTGTGAGAAAAGGAGCAGAGGTGTTTGAATTTTCCTCATGTGAAAAAGCCTTTTAATAACACACTTGTCCAGTACTTTCCAAGTGTCCAAGAACAACAGTTTGTTTTTGTAGGCGCCGCTCACCCCGCTGTGCAGTGCTGTGCTGAGTTTGCAGGGAGACCACAAGTGTAAGAGTGTTAATGTTTAGTCCTGGTTTAATACTGTGTGTGAATCAAGCTTTCTGGGCACACAGCCAACAGCAGGAGCCCTGACTGTGGAGCAGAGCAGCATGTTGACAAGATGATATCAGGCCCAGTATATGGACAAGTGTGTTAGCTAGAGGTGCAGCCATTGATCAGCATAATCATAATTACCTATGAAAATATTACCTGACTCTTTAATAATTTCTAAAGGTTTTCTGGGATACAAACCCTAAAACAAATGCCAAAAGACATTAAAAAAGAACAATCTGCCTTGTCAAAGCCTCAACTCATATGAAATCAGGAGCCAAGCAGGGCTGGACCTGGGTAGTGCTTGGATAGGAGACCACTGAGAATACCACTGTAAGACCACAGGCCAAAAAATATATAAAAAATACTACTGTTGTGTTGTGTCCTTCGGCAAGACACTTCACCCACATTGCTTAGTATGAACGTGAAATGGTGTGTGTGTTTGTTGGTATACTGAGGGACTCATGGTGTAGACTGGTAGCTTTGCTTCAGTCAGTCTGTCCCATGGCAGCTGTGGCTACTCACTAAACTAGTATCTTACCACCACTAACTGTGGAGTGAATGAATAATGTACAGACTTAAGGCCACCTTGAGTGTCTGGAAAAGCACTATATAGACAAATGCATTATTATTCTAAAAAATATAACTAATGGGCTGACAAGTTTACAAGTAAAATATTATTGTAGCCGTATAGTGTAAATTGACTAATAATGCAAGTTCCTGGCATGTTTTAAGTCTGACATGCAGGGAGATTAATTATAGCCTTGACATGAGCTCCACCTGGACTGCAGTTAATATGACCTACTATGGCATCCAATGTAATGAGATTCGATGGTGTAGTCCTTGCCGGCCCCAAGTGAGCAATAAATTTAATTAAAATAGAAATCAAAGCTAGTCATTTCAAATAGCCATTGATGAGCTTGGGCCATTAAAAGAGGTCTACAGCTAATGCTCTGTCAGGAAAAGCAAAGTTTAGACATAGTTTTGAGGAATAAAGTTGAAATTATGGCATAATCTTTATTATATTTGTCAAATCTAGATGGAGCAGATGTTAGATGCTTGTTCTTTTTGAGAAAAAGTCAATTAAAAAAAAAATTGTGTGAGGAAAAAAAACATAACTTTACCTCAAGCCACGAGGACAAACCAAAAGTGTCATATCAATATAATAGCCTTACTTTCTATGGCAACTCATAATTAAGAAGCCAAAAACTTAAATTTGACCCCATGGCTCATGAAGGTCTATATGATATTCTTTCTCTCGGATTTAGAACATAAACCTCACAAGGTTAATTTTGGCACCTGCCCCACCAGTTGAGAAACACCGCACCACCTTTTCCTTCCTGTTTGGTTGCGTACACAAAGCCAAATAGTCAATCAACATTGGCCTATGGAATTAAATAATATAACAGATAGAACATAGTGCAACAGTAAAGGAGCCCTGTCCATAACTTTCAGAGAGTAGAAACTAGCACTGTCACCATAGCAATTAACAAACATTTACCATACATTTTCAATTGTCAAAAGTCCTCAAAACGTCACCTACACACCAGAAGCTGTAACCTATGAACAGTTTGGTGTAGTCAAAGATAAGAACAACAATTGTGGGCAACATTATAGCATTTATCCTCACTCAAATGCCATCTTGATATTTGCAGACGTTCTTGCTGATTCAAAGTATTTCCGAATCTAGTTACCGCAACTATTACTGCTACATAGACATGCACAAGTAGATTAGAGTAAAGCTATTCAAATGCACAGCCACTCTGTTATGTTGACCAATATTCTGTACCATGTGACCATTCTGGGAGGACAAGGTGGGGCCAAGATAGTACCAACTAAATCCATAAGGTAGTGTGATGTGACAGTAAAGCCTACTCACTCCAAACTTGCAGGCTTTAGTGTTTTGGACCACATCCACGTACGTGCAAAAACATGTCCTTCCCATAATACTGAGGAAACCCACACACAACCATTTGAGTACAACATCATATTATATTCGGGGTACCTACCTAAAAGCAGCAACTTGACCTCTCTAGCCGCCTTCTCGCCGTCCTCTCGGAGATTTTTGTCAATCATTTTGGACCTCTCCGCGGCGGCCTTATCTTCTGCGCTCACCGTGCAACCCATGGCTCCTCCAAACGCAACAAATACGACGTTTCGGGGCTACTGGGTCTTTCTCCCGAACTGCCACCACACCACAGCGAAATGCCTACAGAATACAAAACGTAGACAGCTTCCCTTTTCCCTTTCCAGTTGAGAGGAATAAACGATTTTCTTTCAGGAGTTCACGAGAAAAACTCAAGTCTTCCTGTTTAAAACTCGCTGCTATAAACGACGTCTCATCTGGAGTGGTTTTGGTGCTATTTGCTCGCTAATACTTCTGGTCCATTTCGGCTCCGCTATGCGTGCGTCTTGCATCCATTCACACTCCGTCAAAATGCCAATGCTCACTGCTTCACACACACACTTCACTTGCCACGGCCTGCCCCGGTTCACGCTGAAGTCTTCCTTTTTAATTAGCAAAACATCTCCACTTTTCGCTCATTTTAATGTCCAAAAAATGTGCAGAAAGTCCACGTCTAAATACCGAGGAATCAGGGTTAGATATTCCGCGATATATCCCCAATTAGCGCAGGTGAGCACAGACACCGTCCCCAGCTTGGAACCAATTAGAAGGGAAGCGAAGTGAGGCGTGATTTTGAGTAGAAGTGTGGTGCTGTGGCGTGCAGACTGCAGTGGGCGCTGTGCCACCACCGTCATGGTTGTTTCCTCTAGCCGCTATTCACACGCGGGCAGAGAGACAGGAGGAAGAGTGAATTTAGAACACAATGTCCATGATTACAGTCCGAGGTAGTGACAGGGGCACGTAGAGTTTACACGGGAATGCAGCGCGTACTACAGCCACAATAGCCGATGTGTCAATGTGTCACTTGTTTATGAAATACCTTGGCACGTAATTAGGCCGAGGGAATAGAAAGGGAAACAGCGCCCTCGCCTGGTGATATAGGGGTATTGTATGCACTGCTGGGTATTGAATTAGAAAGTGCTTCCAGTGATAGATGGTATCTCTGATGCTGCAGAAGAAGTATATCCATTAGCAAATTACACATCCTTTACGCACTATCATTACTATGAGGGCCTGAGCCATCCCATTTCCAATATGATTTATTTTGGAGATTAATCCATTTTTTCTTTCAACAACACGGATAAATTGCCTATCCTACTTTAGTATCTGAGAATTTTCCTAACTGCAACTGGATTTAGTTTAAAGTAGTCCATGTATGTAGTCAATAATAGCTTATTCAAATATAGAATTGAAGCTAGCAAGATCAGGTTCTAAAAGAAAAAATTGTCCAGCAAAGGTCAGATTTTGTTTGTTTGTTTGTTCTTGTTTGTATTGGTACTTGTTCAAATAGTATTGTAGTGGTTTCTCAATTTGGTGTTATTTTGGTCGTTGGAGTTTGAAATGGAACAAAGAGATGTAGCTCAATAGATCTAACCAAAACAAGTTTTTCAGTTAAATAAGTAACCCAGAAGGCTTTTTATAGGTTGTAGAATGGTTCATCCCTAACACTTTTTCATTCAAACATTTAACATACAAACTTTTTATATTTGCGTTCTTTTTTGGGGGAAGTGCAATGTGAAACTCTAATATGCTGCTTGTCTTAAGAATGAACTAAACAAGGATGTCAGTGAGGGCTGTAGTGACCTCATGTCCCGGTATCTGTGCTTCAGTAAACAGACTGTGGCCTTGGACAGATAAAACACACTCTGCCAGCTCAATGAATTGAAGATATATGACAAAGAGACAAGAAATAAAAACATCTACAATTATTTATTGCCAAACTAAAATATGTCCCTGCTATTTACACTTTACAATAAGCTACAGTGAATATGCATTACAAATATAAAAGGTTTACATGTACACATTTAAAATCTCCACATTACAACGACTGCAATGCCATTCTCATTATGTTTATATGCTCTTCACAACAGCCATATACAAAACTATTTGTGAACAAGTTTGGGCACTGTATAAAATGTAAAATAAATGTGCAAATCTTAAAGTAAAATACATTATTTTCATAAGACATCTATAAGCACTGATCATTTATTTTATTTTAAGTATAATAGATAGGTTTGGATGGAAGCAACAAGTCCCAAAATTATGAAAAATAAAGCTTAATAAGAAAGGGGTACTAATATTTGTACTAATGAATACATACAATAGTACAAAAAGCATTTTAATGTAGTATTTTGGATAATTTTATATTATAATTTTTACAACTTGTACAACTGTATTTTCTGATTAGGAGTCCCTTTTAGAGACAACATCTGTCATGAATCCTTATATCTGCTCAGCCTTAAAAATTTTACAAGATTCACAACCCATTTCTCTTTACATTATATACAGTGTCCACGATTATTCAAAGTTTGGACTATAAAACTGTAAATTCAGAACATAGATTTAAGTACATATAAGTGGCACTCTCTGGTTGCATTAAAACTGTTGCAAAGTTAGTGTCATTTTAAGCAGCAGGTAGTGAGTTGTTATTTTGGCATGATCTCCTCCAGTGAATTCCTCTTCTTCACATCAACATGTCAAAACAAGAACTTAACGCTACTACAACCACCATAAAAAGCAAGGGACACTATTCTGGTTTATAATTTATCCATATAGAAACATTTTGATCAAAAACTACATGACATAACAGAGTAATTCATAAATAATGATTTTCTTTATACACAGAGGTTTTTGAGAAGTCATTAGGTCCAAGCAGCTTTGACTTATCATGAGGAGTGAGAATCCAAGAGCGCAAGTGGTTTTCTGCTAAACTAAGCTGTTTGTATAAAGTTCTTTCTGTGAGAATAACTCAAGTGACAGGAAATACCGCAGGGAAAGCTATTCTGTAAATTGCCTGAGACTCCATAAATGATGCAGATTCTACCAATTGAGCAGTCTCACAGCAAAAAATGCAGGCCTAGATATGTTCTGTTCATTTAAAGTTTCACTATGTAAATGTTTGTTTTGCCTGTAATATTCTGCAGTATGGCATAAAAAAAACTCCATGGATACACACATCACATGACATCATCAGGTCAAGTACCTTTTAACAATAAGTATAAGTGAATAAAGGCAGGATACACATGTTTAATGCCATACTGTGGAGCATTTCAGCCAAAGCAAGCAACAAGCAGGTGGCACACACCTAACTAGAGAGCTAACAACAGGTTGAACTTTTTTTTTGAATGAATAGAGCGACATTGTACTAGCATAACCTTTTGGCACAGTTTTTTTTTTTCATCACAACAAATTGATCCCACTGTGATTTTACAGATTTTAAACATTGGGCTTGTTATCCAAATCAAATAGAAACATGTTGTCTGACCAAACACTTGTTCCACTTAAATTCTCACCCTCCGTTTAACATTTTTGGTTTATAGGAAGTATTCTTTGTACATATGCGCAATAACAATAAAAACGTGACAAAATAATATCACAACATAGAACATGGATGAAGACTTCAAAACTAATGCAATACAACTGTCAACAGAGGAAAGCATAATTTTCATCTTTGCTGTAACTACATCTGCATATTAACGAATGAGTGCATTTGAGTGTGGTTCAGTTAACAGACTTCAGACTGGGCAAGCAGCATGCAAAAAAGGTAAAACCAGGACTAGATACAGGACACAAGCAATAACACTCAAATACTGTACTCCAGACCACCCCAGTTATCTTCATAAATGAGACCACACCCACCAGCGGGTTTGTTTTTCTAAATCATTATGATCAGCCTAACAAGCTACCACAATTAAAGCTAAAATTAACAGCATCATTGTGGATCTTTCTAATGACATACACAAACGTAAAAGAAGTAAATACAACAAATGCACTATTTTACAAGAAAAAGTCAAACCTTTGATTTGCTATGAAAAAAATACATATTTGGTGAGGGTTTGCACTGTGTTTACAGTGAGGTCATAATGGCAGTCACAAAGATTATCATATTGTGAAAAGGTAAAATTATTTTTATAGAAATGCATGATTGGTGAACACAAAGTAAAAAAAGTATTATTTGTTATGTTAATTTAAAAAAAATAGGAAAAAGGTTAGTGTTGAGAATGTGCGCCTAATCTATAAGCAGAAAATAAATACACAACACCTTTAAAGAAATAATTTTACTTTTCCACAATATTCATATTTAAAGGGGAACTATGTAACTTTTCTGGTGGAGAGTCCGCACTTGTCTCTATGGAGATGTTCCACAGTATGGCATTAAACTTTACAGTCTACATGGAGTCAAATAGGTGACACAATCAGGACAAATTACAGGTCAGATCTAAGGAGAGGTGACCCCCCTCAAAGTAAGAATGCATGTTTTTTCCAATGCATTTTTAGGCCATAAAACACCCATATTTAAATAAATGTGATGTAAATGCTATATTGTGGAACATTCAAGACAAAAAAAAACATGGATACAACAGGTGGCATAATTCTCACTAGATAAATTACAAACTGGACCTTCAACCCAGAAAGAGAGATAAAGCCTAAAATACTGTCCTGTAATGTCTAAGTAAAATATATTTTATGTAGTGAAACTTCATCAGGAGCAGAGTTAAATAAAGTTTATTTGTGATTAAAACCAGATGTAGTTTCTGAATAAATAAGTTTCTGTCTTTAATATATGTCTGTGTCTTATTTTGAAAAGGCACCAGTGTTTCTATAAGTACAAGTTTATGTCAAAATGCATTTGGATGGATTCAAGAGCATTTCAAAACAAAGGCTTTTGAAGGCTATTCTCCATTTGTGCGTCATGATAAAAATATTTGGTAAATATACAGTATGCTCATGTCTCTGTTGCGTATAAAGTGAATATTGTGTTTGTACAGTACCAGCTGCAGTTATTTATGTGAACAAAAAGTAGAAAAGGTCATATCACCTCAGTGACATACACCTTTAGACCCTGTTCTCTTGATTAATTTTATAATGATCACAAAGAATTTAAATTAGATAAAAATCTGTAATAAATCAATTTTGATATGTGTGATACATCCAGAAACAGTCTGATGTATTTAGTGTCAAATTTAAACTGTGCTTAAGATCCCCTTGATATCATAGTACTACTGTTGTGATACCTGTTTGTTCTCATATGTGTGTTACTGTAGTAGGAGCAGTAGTTGTAGTAGTAGTGGTGGTAGTTGTAGTAGTAAAAGAGAAGCTGAGGTTAGTGTCCTCCAGCAGCACGACTGGTCCCTGTTGTCCAGTCGATAATAATGAAACTCAAACTCATCACCATGAAAGACACACCCAGAGCAGCAAAACACAAAGCCTGCGAAGGACAGACACAGAAAGAAGTGTGATAAAAAAGGAAATAGCTTGTAATTAAACAGATAACCTTATCTTTTATTTCTGTGTAATCTGTTTATCATTATGTGACTTATGCAGCTTAAGCACCTTTAGTATTTCAATGCATAAATATGCCAGTGTTCATTTTGTTTAAATGTTTCTTCATTGGTTTTAACATTTTTTTGCTAGTGGAAAGTAAAAAAAAAAAAAAAGTAATTAATGAGGATTAAAATTATGGCCGAATGCATCACAATATGATAAATAGAATACAATTTGTCTCTTAAATGTAACAATGATTTGTTGGTCTGTTGTATAATTATACACTTTAAATTTATTTTAATCCAAAACTTAAACTAAAAAGACTAATGCCATGTCAAAATTGTTACCAACATAATCAGTTTGTAAAAGGTGGAAAGCCTTACCAGTATCTTTGGGACTGAGGTCATTGGTTCTTTGTCTTTTGGCACGATACGGATGTAGAACACAGCAGGGAAGATGAAAATCAGACAGGGGGCAGAAGTGGCACCTAAAAGACAAATTATTATTAACAACCTGAAAAACCAACCTGTATTAATCAAATAATATAACTATTAGATTTGTGTTTTTATTTGTGTTTATTATTATATTCAGTGTGCACATTTCAGAAATTACAAAAGGATAAATTGTCCATTCATAAACATTGCAGAGAAGATTGAAAAAGTTACTGGTTAATTTATACAGAAATCACATGCTTTTCTGGTATGGCTATCAGGTTCTATACCTTGTTGTATGATGGACCAATTATGATTGTGCAGAGGACAACAAATCTCTTAAATTCTACAATGTTTAATTGTGACTATACATGTGCAATATATAGCATATTGCAATTCTACCTGGATAGTAAGTGCTATTTAATAGGATAATGAAACTATAGAGCAGATTAATTTCCCTTAGTGTACCTTAAAGTAATCTTTAAGTAATACAGCGTAATGAAGAATATTTGTTTGTTCCATATGACCACCAAAGTGGGGTCCCTGGCCTTAGTTTTCCTGTCCTCTCATCTTTGAACTTTTCAACGTAAACTCCATTTTGAGGACGACAAGAGACAATAACATTGACTTTGGGCCCTCACTGTGTTCATGAGTAAATACAGGTCACGTTTTCCAGCTTTCAGTCTGATATTTGAGGTCAGGAAGTGGCAGAGTGAAAGTGGTCAGAAAGAGCATGTCAACAAGAAGGTCGAGTCAGCCAATTGCAACAAAACAAGTTAATCTATATGTAACCCATATAAAGCACTATCCTAATATAACCTATAATGTGGACATGCCTTACTAGTCAAGAAATCTTTAGGAACAGTGATGAAATTGAACATATATTTGAAATAATGTATAGGTTTGCTCTTGTCAATAACTAGATAAACAGAGATAAACAATGTTATATAATATTAGAGTTTGTATAATAGAAGGCAAATTGGTTTATTCATTATCTTCTCCTGGGAACCGGGGTCAGTATAAACTACTCATATTTAATAAAACTGTAACAAAAATGCAGGGCTTAAACTTAGAGTCTGTTGTGGTTAATATGGTGGTTAACATAATGGTTAATGTTTTCAGATTAAAAAAGCAACAAGAAACTATATGCAAAGTTAGCCTGCTTTAAAAACCCAACAATATGGCAATTCAGACTGTAATGAACAGCTAACTTTAATGTAAACATTGACTATTGCCCCATGTTGCATTCAAGGACATGCATTTGTGTCTGAAATTTACCAATGACTCCGAAAATGCCCAGGATGTTGGGTGCAAAGATGACAAGCATGTTGATGAGCGAGAGCAGGATCACAGCGATGGCGGTGTGGCGGATCCAGTTAAAGGACTTAGTGGGGAACATCATCTGCTGAATGGCTCTGCGCACCTACATAAGACATAAGGACATGCTTTAAACTTTGTACTGTTATTTTAGATTAGAACTTTTGAATAGTTACAAGATTTGATAAGTAGTCATGTGGGCTTAGTTCAGAAATGAAGGGCACGTTCACTTTTATCTGGTTTGGACCTGATTTGAACCTAGCCAATGTAGGCTTGGTACTGTTCTAGCCCTGATATACTCCATATTTAGCTCCTGGTTTGATGCTGGTAGTGCTTGTGAAAAAGTGAACACATCCTAAATTTGTAAAATTTGTCTAAATGATTTGATGACAAAATTCCTTTTTTCTTTACTTAACAGTGTATGAAACACATACATCTAGGAAAAAGCGTCATTGCCTGAACTTGTTGCTTCAAGTTTGTGCAAGTGCGTATATTATTATTAGTAACACTTGGTGGCTGATTGCAAAACAGAATTTTTTTTAGTGTTTTTTAGAATGAATGTGGCACAGCTGTTTGTTTTCAAAAGTGTTAAGTTAATAAGATACATAGATGTTTGTGCACCTAACCAAAATTCAATGAATAAAGTCTTGACTTACAGGGAACAGCACAATGGGGACAGTGAGAGTAACTGCGGTGAGGACAGCCACTCGTACACACAGGATCAACGTGTCATAGGGGTCAATACGGCTGTACGTGTGCAGCAGCTCGGGCTCCACGTTGCCTGAAATAACATGAAATGCTTTCAGATCAAAATGTAGTAACACCAAATTACCACCAGGCGGTTCAGTAACCTCTTAGTTTTTAGAGGTCTATTTTAGAGTTGGTCGACAATATAAAAAGGAGAGAGAAGCACCCATATTTGGCAATCAAGCTAATTTACTGCTACTTCAAAGCATATTATTCAAACAGAAGTAGTCAGTACTGCGTTGCATAGTATGAACTGAAGAATTGTATGATTTATGTGTGTTTTCACTGTTTAGGGATCACTGAAATTTGCTGGATTATTGAAATATGTATGAATCAAATTCTCAATCAATCAAAATGCAATTCTGAGTTAATGTTGATGGAAGACTATTTAATATGATTAATAAAACTCATAAAAGTCCAGCATACAGAACATGTTCTTTTTATACAATACTCACTATCCATATGGCTTACTTATTTGTCCCCCACCCAGCATATGAAACAACGTTATCCAGAAACAGCAGCTTTGATTATTAAGCAACTATTATTATCTATTGTAAATATTGACTTCAGAGGCCATTGTCTCACCATAAAAGGTCAGGTAGCCAAACAGAGCAGCCAGGAAGTACATTGTGTACATGACAAGGATGGAAATGTTGGACACTTTCTGCATTTTCTTCTTTGTTGGGCTAAAAGCACAGGATACAGAAGTCAGTGGATATGAACGGATATTCCTCGATGAACTTGTTAAGGTTATGTAGGTTGACCCACTTGCGCAGCTCAGTGTAGATGGGCAAGACCTCTGGGTGGCAAACAAAAGCAAAGGCCAAGATAGGGATGGTGTAGGCAGTCTGTAAACAAAGCGTATTAACAATTACTGCATTCAAGAACAATTATGGCCACCTGTCCAACACGCAGATATATTGACAACCACTCTACAAAAATAACATGAGCCTATTTCATAAAAAGATTTCTGTTTAGTCAAATATTTGCTTTAAACCCGCAATAACCTTAGACAAAAGATATGGATTGAAATATCATCTGACTGTGTCGTCATTGCAATTTGGTCCACAGTTTTGTCCGGCTTCTATCACAAAACTGGTTGCCTGCTGCATTTCATCAAGTAACATGTGCCGTAAAATTAGTCATATCAATCCACAGGAGGCATATATGTTATAATTTCAATCAAGAACACCAGGAGAATAAAAATATGTAATCACAAATCAAGATAAATTATAATAAGTAAATGACTTCAAACTAACCAGTCTTACTAGAACATTAAAAATACTTAAATAGACACAAAGATAAAAAAGGTGTAAAAATAATAAAATATAATATTGTGCAAAAATCATTACAGCACTAAATAGGCTGGCGCCACCTAGTGCTTCAGTTCAATTTCATTTCTCTCCAGCAACTAGGTCAGGAATCAGAATACATTAGACGGTTAGCAAGAACTCCGTAATTTGTAGACTGTGCACCGGCCAGTCAGTGAAGAGCTGTGAAGCCATGACTGGGTAAACAAACAAACAGTAAACAAAGTGGACGAGATGGATGTAGACGAAGCCAGACATTCAGTATTGGCAACGATTCCCAAGATTGAGGATTTGAGCTGGAACAAAGAGAATGTTTGGTGAAATTTATTAAGGGGTAAGACGTTATTGCCCTTCTACCTAGAGAATTTGGGAAAAGCTTAATATACCAGTTAGCACTGTTAGCGGTGCTTTACATATGTCACAACCAAATAGCAGCGATTGGTTAAATTAAAAAAGTACCCGTCTACCAAACGAGCAAACGAATCCTAATGCTGCGCAGTCAGACGGTTTCTATGAAGTGAAACCGGCTGATGAATCAGGCTAGTACAGCACACCATATGTACACGAATAAATAATAGGTATTTGAGTCTTATTGACAAAACCTGTATCTGTTCTTACCTGCGAGTTCATGGTGAACATTTGTGGAGTACAGTGGCTATCGTCCTCTGCAGGGACAGCCCCATTGATGTAGTCGTGGGCATGGCTTGAGACATTTACAACGTGGTGAGTGGAGGTGCTGTTTATGGAGAACTCCTCAAATGGACAGGGGATCTGAAACTTCTTATAGATGACCTACAGAGACATACAAACACCACGTTAAGTCCAAATCTTCAGTATTTGTGCAGTGTATCTTTGCCCCAATACAGCTATATTTTATAATCAGTTACTGAGGTCAAATGAGTCCCCTGTGTACTGTCTGCATCTAATTAGAAAGCATGTATTGTCCAAGGTGCATGATAGCATGTTCCCAATTTTGGGTATAGTTTCTACACATTTCTATACATTTGATAAAACCCTTTGCACAGTCCATTGCATAACACCTGTTGTATATTGCCTGGTGTGATATTATGTACAATAGGTTCTGGACACAGGGGCGGTGAAAGCAGAGTGCAGTGGGAAAGTGGCTGTGAACAGTATGTGTCCAGATAAGATGCCTGAGGAGTCATGTCATGTGGCTCTATCAGACTTACAGCAGTGAGAAAAAACACCATACAGCTCAGAGAGAATCCACTGGTGTAGCCAAGGTAACCTGATAAAGAAGAGGAAAAAAATTACAATGGCATTCGTGGCTGAATTTTACCTTTTCAAAGGCTCAAACTGGATCTAAGAGATAATAAGCAGCTAAGCAATGCTGGGGCAAAAACTGTTCTTGTGTCATTAGGCAAGTCACATCACCCACATTGCCTTGTATGAAAGTGGTGAAGTTCCGTCAATCTGCCCCAAGGCATCTGGGGATACAATAGTAGCTCACCCCCAGCGAGTGTGTAGTGAATGAATAATGCTCTGTAAAGCGTCCTTGAGTGTCCAGAAAAGCACTATATAAAACTGATGCATTATTATTATTATTATTATTATTATTATTATTATTATTATAATAATAATAATAATAATAATAATAATAATAATAATAATAATAATAATAATAATAATAATAATAATAATAATAATTAATATAATAATAATAATCGATTTTTTTATGTATATTATTTATGCAGTTTTATATAAATGTGCACAGAACAAAACAAGAAACTGCACTAAAGCAAAAATATTTATTTGATTAAACATAAACATTAAATACCCCAAAACTGTTCTGCTTGTCTCCGTGCAGATGTTATTGCTTTACCTGAAATATTCCACAATATGTCCTTGAACTGATCTATCTTGCATTCATTCCTTTGCAGGTGCAAAAACCTTGAAAAACAGTCAATACTGTGGGATTGTCTTTCCAGAAATCTAACCTGATACTGAGCCTGGTGGTGTCACCTGTTTTTTTTTTTCCAAAACATAAGACCAGAAAATTTACAGTCCAATATAATGCAGTAAATGAAGGAAAACTCATTACTTATGCTTTGTAAGACCTCTGTGAGTATCTTTTTATTTGTGTTAGATAAAAATGTTTTTGTTTTGTCTCTTGAAGTTATAGCAAATGTTAAATTGAAATTTAATTAGGTAGGAAAAGATGTTTAATGTTTAATCTGTGTTGGGTGTTATGGGTGCCATTTGTAAGATAATGACTGCTTCAGGGGGTGTCCTATTAACTAAATGTACTTATACTACTACTTTACTACCTAATGCCAAATAGTTCCACTGAATACTTTGCTGAATGCACGAGTTATGAGTTTAACTAAAATCTTAGTGATTGTTCCTCTCTGTCATTAGTTTCTAGACAAAATGTGTTATTAAATGAGCTTCTTAAAAAATAATATGTGCCAGCTTTTAACAGAAATTCCACCACAAAAAAACAATATTTGGTCAGACGTGTAAGTGTTCATTGGAGGTAATAACATCTGTTTTGTAAATGTGTTCTTTTTTCCAAATTCAATTATTTCTTATTATGATTCCGGAACTGCCCAATCAAAAACATTAAGGTTTCGTAAGAGAAATTGGGTCTAATTGGACACCCACTGTTACTCAGTGCCAGTGGCCGCCAGTAGGAAGAGGAAAAACACACTAATTAGTCTGATATTTTTAGTCTGATATGTCAGTCTTGTCTTAACACAAATTGCGCAGTAAATAGGCTATAAAACAACAAATTACATAATTAAAAATATTACAATGGATTTACTCAATGAAGAGCTTTAAATACACTTTTTAGTCCATTATTCTGGAGAGCCACTGTTGCCCT